CTTGCTAGGTGAGTACTTCATACTAAAATTTATAATTTTGGACTTGTGCGACAATCGTTTGATTTTTATGGAGTTTTGCTTTTTTTCGCGATTTAACGTTGAGTAGGGCTACACACAAAGTTTATTAAAAGAGTTGTATTGTTACAGAAATACACCAAAAGCACTGCAAGCCTTTCCAACTTGTGGTCATAATGGACGACCCGGATTGCCGTATTATTGTTACACACTCACGATGAAGCAAGTGATAGATTTCCATGCCTACCTTTTTTAGTCAAAAGATAAAAGTAAACAAGACCTTCTGATAGTGGCTTGTTCTAAGGGACCGAAACCGAAAAGAGAAAAATCTAATCATGCTGCAGTGTCGATAAAATACCATGTACGTTTAAGTAAGGGTAAGATGATTAGAGTATTCGCCAAGTCGTTTCTAGGAATCACAAATTTAAGAAAGGACCGCGTACAAAGAGCTATAAGAAATTTTGTTATAACTGGGGAGCCACCAAGAGAACGTAGAGGTGGCAATAGAGTGGGTCCAAAAAGTGATGACAATAGAAACTGGGTCAAAAAAATTTATAGAATCCATAACATGTACAAAATCTCAATACTGTAGAAGCAAGACAAGCGTGAGGGTCTACTTGCCATGTGACTTGAATTTTAAGAAACTTTTCGGCCAATATATTTAGAGAGTGCCTTAGCGTATGCATGTGAACTTAGTTATTTTCGAAAGTATGTGAATGTTAACTACAACATCGCTTTTGAAACTCCGCTGACTGACTGTTGCTTCACTTGCTTGAGAACAAAGGAGCAGTTAAAAATAGCACCTTATTTAGCTGTTAGGCAAAAGTTAGCCACTGAGCATAGTATTCATATCGTGAAAGCAAAGGCTTTTTTCAAACCCCTTAAAAATCCAAAACCCAACACAACTTACTTTTCGTTCGACTGCCAAAAAAACTTAGCACTGCCTAGACTGCTTGATCAAGCAGCATATTTCAGCCAGCAAATAAACTATAACAATTTTACAATTGTTACTGGAATTTCTACCAATAAATTAAGACCAACAAATGTGTTTTCTTACGTGTGGATAGAAATTGCCCCGAGAAAAGATTCTAATACAATAGCGTCAGCTTTGCAATATGCTCTAAAGAATTTTAATTTTGATGTTGGCATAGAAACACTAAGTTTGTTCGCTGATGGTTGTTGCGGACAAAACAAAAATTCGAATATGATGGCAATGTTGTCTTATTGGCTTCTAGAAGAATCGCCGAATCATATTAAACAAATTGAAATAATTTTTTCCCATCGTCGGTCATTCTTTTATTCCGCCTGATCGTATATTCGTTTTATTTCGGCCTTATAGAAAAAGACATTACAAAAAGTTCTGTTATCGTGGAAATTAGTGACTACGACGATTTAATCAGAAAGCATTCCGCTGTACGGAAAATCGGTATCGATTGGGATATGTTTGATTGGAGGACACAAACAAAACGAGTAATTAAGCTGCCTCGTTCATGGCACTTTAAATTTAATAAGGCAAAGCGGTATATTTTTTACAAAAGAGGCAACAATGTTTTAGTCTAAGGTGAATCCTATTACCGAAATGACGTTGGAAAACCTAAAAGCATCTGTAAGAAAAATTTTCCTCTTTCGTCAATGGCTCCTAAGAAGTTACCATTGGAAAAGAGTTAAAGGAGGATAAAGGAACTATTAATAGTCTCCTTTCAAAACACTATGAAGAAAATTGAAGAACCTTTCCTAAACTCGATTTTTACAATAAACACTTAAAAACAGATTTGACCTCACCAGAAGAAACCGTTGATGGATTGGAAAATTGCCAACATACAGAAAATAACTGTTTTTTGATTTGATTACCTAGATTTTTTTGTTTAAACATTTTCTTTGTATGACCAAAAATGATAAAGTTTTATTTTCATGAATAAATTCCTCATGTTTTTTATTGAAGTAAATACGGTTTGTTATTAGTTTATATATTTTCCGCAAATCGCCAGGAAATTTTGACATTCCTGTCAAAATTTCTTGAAGAAAAAGTCAGGACTTCCTTACTGTAAGGAAATTTTATTTCCTTACTGTAAGGAAATGATATTTCCGTACAGTTGTTAGTGTTCTACATAAATGATAGAAAACACATTGCTTATAAGGAATTAATTTATATTTTGAAAACATCAAGTCATTGCTGAATACATTTTTAAGATCAATTTGTTATATTTACAGTAATTTGACAGTTAGTACAATTATTGAACATTGGAGGAACACTCTTAGAACTATGAGAAACATTTTGGACAACATGCAGGGTAGAAGTGTCATTTTGTTGAATATTTTGTATTGTGAAAATTTTATTTGCCACCTCAACCTTATTGTTAAGCGATTCTTCGATATATCCTTCAGCAACGTTTGATGACTTCCATCCGCCATGCCTCTTTAAACTAGTTATGTCGGCACCAGAGTCAACCAATATTGTTGCAGAAGACCGACGAAAGCAGTGACCAGTATATTCTGTCGGATTTACCAAGTTCAAATAAGTAGCAATTATTTTGGGCATTTTTCTAAATTGATGAATTCCTACCGCTTGTCTACAACCCTTTCTGCTTTGATATTTAAAGAAAAATCGGTCACTGTTCATATTTTCTGGTCTTAACGAAACATACTTTCGATAAACATTCAAGTAGATCTGATTAATTACAAATAATCTTGGTTTGTTGGTTTTCGAATCAGGTATGCTGATTAAAAGCTTAGATTCAAAGTTTTCTATATCGTGTACAGTCATTCGGAATAACTCATCCATTCTACAGGCCCCAGAAATACCAAATATTACAGCCACCTAAAAAATAAATAAAGCTATAATCTAAATAAAAATTAAAACCTTGTAAATTACCTGAATCATTAAATTTTCTTTATCTGGAGCTTCCTGGATAAATTTTTCAATTTCTTCCTTCGTTAAAATCTTAGATTTCTTTGCCCTATAATTTTGAGCTTGCCGTTTCAATAAAGAACGAAGTTTTGAGTATATAGATATATCTACATTGTGTTTAAGTGCAAGGGTTGACTTCAGCATTAAACAATTGGCCCATAATGTTGAAGATTTCATCTTTAAACAAAGGTCTAGGAAGTATGCCATTAGAACATTTTCTGAGAAAGAACTCGTATTTTTACTCATGCGATAATCCATAAAACGTCTGTATGCATTTTCGTACTTTTCTCTTGATTTCTTTGGCAATATTCTAATAAAGCAGTATTCACTGCCTCAACCAGCTCTGGAGGAGTCCCAGAATGGAAATTTCATCATCACTTATCATTTTACTTTCGAGAACACCAGCAATTAAATTTATAAGCGTCAAGTTTGACAATTCAACCTCAATACGTTTCCATAGTAACCCAAGTAATTTTATTAGGAATTTCAAAGCTCCATTTATTTGGGAATAAAATTATCGCGTTTTTTTTAAATCAATCAATATCTGTCGAATTTTAAACGATTTGCGGAAAAATAGTATGTTTACCTCGTAGGAAAAGCCACATTCCTGGACTCTGTGTTGCTAAGTCTCGGCTTACGCCTCGACTTAGCAATCTTCACAGTCGTCCAGGAATGTTAAGCTTTTCCTACCCGGTAAACAATGTACTATTATTTGCAAAACTGGTTGTTTGAAATTTACATTTTTTTTGTTTTACTCTGTAAATATTTTAGGCTAGAAATTTCTATTGCTAAAAACCCTAAGCAACATTAATAAAAAAATTTTACGTTTACACTACTCGGCGCCGTTTATTCGTTTTTTTTTTTTCGATTTTCCAACAAATTACTTTCGAGCAAAGAGCAAGTTTTGCAAATAATGGCCTTATATATAATATTTACAAACAAGCTAAAATAATAGTGACTTTGGGTAATAGAAGTAAAAGAAGACCAGTAAAAATTAATTGACGCGTAAGAAAAGGAGACACAATATCTTCAAAAATATTTACAGCTACCCTAGAAGGTAGTACATCTTCTAAGTCAATAGACTAAGAAAATGAGGGAATCTCTAATAACGGAAGAAACTTGAACCATCTTAGATACGCAGATGATGTAGTACTAATAACCAAGACGTGAAATTCACTGAATACGATGATTAAGGAGCTACACACAGAATCCCTAAAAAGAACTGAAAATAAATTTCAGCAAAACTAAACTAATATCAGGCAAACATGAGAAACCTATAGTAAACATTTAAGGGACAGAGATAAAACATGTAGATGAACATACATATCTGGGCCAAAATGTCAAAATAAGCAAAGAAAATCAGAACACCGAAATTAGCAGAGGTGTAAAAATGGGATGGGCAGTATTCGGAAGACCCTTTATACGTACTTAAAAATAAAAATATACCTCAAAGACTGCGAACCAAAGTGTTTAATTCCTGTATCCTACTTATACTTACATATGGAGCTCAAACCTGGACATTCACTAAAAATAAACATGGAGAAGATGAGAAACGCTCAGAGCTCTGGAACGACAGATGCTGAATATCTCCCTTAAAGACTATAAAACCAATGAAGACATTTGTAATAGAGCAAAAGCAAAAGATGCTGTCAAACAGGCAACTAAACTGAAATAAAAATAGGCTGGACATAGCGAAGGTCTTAAGGATGGCCGATGGAATAAATAAATCTGGAATTGGCGGCCATATGAAACCAAAAGACCACGATGAAGACGCAAATGCGCTGGAGCGACGATATTAAATGAACTGCAGGACCAATGTGAAAACGTCTAACAAAAAACAGAGATAAATGGCGAAAATTAGGAGAGGCGTATATTCGGCATAATGAATAGAGAGAAGGGCTTAAAAAAATAAAATAAATAAAAATAATTTATTCGATATAGCCACTGATGTGAAACAAAGTACAAAATGTAGAAAGATAATTAATACTATCAAGAATTCCAAATATTTTTATTTGAGTGGTCGATTTTTTCAAGTGGTTTTGACTTTTTAGTATATAAAGCTAAACAATTACCGTACATTATTGTGAAATATAATTCTCAAACATGAAAACTACATTGATTTTGGCAATTTTGGGCTTCGTCGGTAAGTAATAATATTTTTAAATAGTCTATTAATATCTTTTAATATATTTATATACTTTGTTTTTCTCTCTTTAAATTTTGGCCCCAAATGTTTGAAAGATGGAAATATTGGAAAAATAATCACAAAAAACTATCAAAAACACCTTTAAAAAATTTTTTATAAACTTTATACGTATACCGTCTACGTCTTTCTACCTTTCTATTTGTTATTAAGTTTGCAAGCACAAAGACATTGTTGTAATCAACAAAAATTAAAAATAACCAACTGTTTGTCTTTTAAAACTTCTATTTCCTTTTTTGTTTTCAGCCCTTACCGTTTACGCCCAAGGACCTGAACCTGAGCCTACTCGCGAGCCTGAGCCTGAGCCTGATAATGAGTAAGTAACAAGTATAAGAAATAACTATGTCACCAAATAAAAATTTGAATAATATATATCTGTTTAGCCATAATATACCATAGATGAAAAGCATGGGTGGGATTTGTTCAACATTATGTTTAAAGATATAGTATTGATATATAGAAATTGATGTTGAAAAATAATTCAAAAAAATTAATTAGTTCTGAACGAGGAATGCTTTTTTGACTCTATTGCAGTTTTTAACAAATGAATTATTAATAGTTACAAAGTATAAAACGTCTGTTTTCATAAAATCGTTAAATTCTACTTTAGCTTTTGCTTCTTCATAAGCCTCTGTTCTTTGCTCTTCTTTTCTCTGCTTCTCTCTTGTTTGCTCTTTAGACCTTTTATCTTGGCCTTGATTTTACTGCACCTATTTTTCTTTAAACTTCTTACAGCTATCTTCCTTATATTAAGTCCTGCCTCTTTAATAGTCCTTCTTCAACCCTTCAACCTCTCCTTTAACATTTCTTTTCTCCACTAACATGATATCATTCACAAGAGTAGACCCATACATCATCTGCTTTGTCAGTACATTCATAATAAAAATAAATTAGTAGGCAAAGCCTTACGCACTTTATAGGAACCCATTTCTTTTTTCTATATTTATATCCATAGCTCTTATCTAAGAACTCCGTCATACAACTTCTTAAGATCGATTAGTATAAAATATAGCTCTCATTTCTACTCGCCGTATTTCTCTGTCAACTCTCTCAAAGGAACAAGGTAAACGTTGTCCTCCTTCGTAGCATAAACCATAACTGTGCTTTTCCTATGGATATCACTCTTCATAATCTTCGCTTCATAGTTCTTTTTGACATTTTTATTGTGTACGGCATTGACTTTATTATGCATACTTCTTAAAGAAAAGGACACTAATATCCTCCGCCCTTTAATACAGTCACAATAAGCCCTATATAACATAACAGTAAAACAAAAAAAAATTAAACCCAAAAAAACGCATCTTAATAATAACAATATTTATTTAATTTGTGTTAGCTTAAAGATTTTTCTTTCCAGATTTGAGTGTGATGCCTGTATCACATTTGCCACTGTAATCAAGGATTACGTCGAAGAGAAACTTCCATTGGTAAGTTTTATAAGCATTTTTTATGAATAATGTTCTGTCAAACAAGACAACTCGCAGAGTGAAAATGAAATTAAATTTACATCCTTTGGACGTCTGGTAGTATTTCAATTTATTTACTTCAATCTAAAATATTATCATCATCATCAATAATACCCAGTTTGGATTTCGAAATGGAATCGAACAAGAGAGGCGTTGTTTGCACTAAACGTTATGTCTCAAAGATGTCTTGACATAAATCAAGATGTATTCTTGTGTTTCATTGATTACAACAAGGCCTTTGAGAAAGTGCGGCATGATCACCTAATTAGACTCCTGACAGAAAAGAATTTAGATAAAGAAGACATACGACTAATAGCAAATAAGTACTACAATCAGAAATCAGTAGTAAGAGTAAAGAATAATACCACTGGAGAAATTGAAATAAAGCTAGGTGTGAGACAAGGGTGTATACTGTCACCAACTCTGTTTAATTCCGAAGACGTAATAAATACAAACTCTCTGGGCAATTCGTAGGTATTAAAATAAATAGTGTTAGATTAAACAATCTGAGATTTGTCGACGACACCGTTCTGATCGCAGAAACACTTGAAGAGATACAGACATTGGTGAATAAATAGCAGACTGCATCGAAAAATATGGACTTTTTTTAAACATAAAGAAAACTAAATTTATGGTAATATCGAAATCAACACAAAATATCCAAAATTTATATTTACACAATAAAATTATTGCTCAAGTTAACAGAAATTAAAATAAGAATGGAAAAAGCCAGATCCCTATTCACTAAAATGAAGAAAGTGTTCTGCGGAAGAGATTTGAGCCTTGAAATGAAAGTTCGCCTGATAAGATGTTACGTACTTTCTCTGCTGTTCTACGGAATGGAGTCATGGACGTTGAAAAATATTGATACCAAAAAATTAGAGGCATTTGAACTGTGGATGTATCGCTGAATCCTGAGAATATCATGGACCGAGAGAGTCACAATTGTCGAGGTCTTGAGAAGAATGAATAAAGAAAAGGAAGTCATATATACGATCAAAAAACGAAAACTGCAATACTTGGAACACATTACAAGAGGCGAAAGATATGAACTGCTTCGACTTATGCAAGGGAAAATAGTAGGACAAAGCTCCATAGGAAGAAGACGAAACTCCAGGCTAAAGAATCTACGGGATTGATATAGGTATAGCAACAATGAATTGTTTCGGTCAGCAGTTTCAAAAATACGTATAGCCCTAATGATCGCCAATCTTCGGAACGAAGATGGCTCTTGAAGAAAAAGAAGAAAATATTATATTAAAACTTTTTTAAAGTAGCTACTTTTTTTCGTTTTCGTTCGTTAACATAATTAAAGACTTTGTTTTCTTACAGGACGAAGTTGAAAGAGACGCAGATGTACTATGCAACGTTTTACCAGGTGAATTGAGAGATTTTTGCGATCATGAGTTGCTTCCAAAAACCGACCGAATCTACGAAGAGCTACACAAATATTCACCTGATGATGTATGCGAACACTTAGAATTTTGTGGTAAACCATAATTGTTTAGTATGTTTGTTTTACATGTTTTATAAAATTGTATAATAAAGTTTAAAAAATAGTTAATTTTGTTTTTTTTTATGAAAATATTCCCAACACAATTGAAATATTTGTTTAAATATTATTTAAATTTTGTTATCTGTAATATCTAGTAATCAGGAACCATAATTATAAGGCCGGTCGTCCTTTGGATGCGTTTTCGTCCGAATTGCGTTCGTCAGAAATCGGACGAAGAAGTGCGAAGCATCCCGTTTCATTGAAACCTATTGATGCTCGTACACTGCGTCCGAACTGCTTCGTACGAATTCGGACGAAAACATGCGAAGTGCGATCTATCCGAAACAAATGGGATTTTTTCGCAGTTGTTATGACGAATTGATAGTCGATTTGTATTTGTAACAGAACGAGATGGATGTTGAAAAATTAATTACTTTAATTTATGAAAAAAAACCACATCATTCTTCATCTTTGCAAAATACAGAATCTTCCGTGGTCTCACAATATTCAAGTGAAAGAAGAGAAGATGTTTCCTCTCAACAGCCGTTATCCATTCAGAACTATATTACTCACTTCAGCGCATAAAACAATGTATTTCTTTTCTTTGTATTTTTTAATAATAAAATTGGAAATGTTGCAACTACTGTATTTATTATAACTTACCTTAGAGTCACACTCAATCGTTCTTCTGGTGAAATGGTCTCACGGAAATTCGACATTTTTTTAATTGGTTCTCTTATGGCATCTAAAATATAGTTAAATGTATCCTGATTCATGCGATAGTAATCAAAAAACTTTTTCTCGTCCTTTTTCAAATCATCATATAAATGATGAAATTCTCCGAATTCTTTTCGTTTTGCTAATATGTCATTAACCCAACATTTTTTTCTTTTAATTTTAATCGCCGTCTAACAAGGTAACTATTTTCCAAAAGAATATGATCCATATTAAGTATTAATAATTATTATAGTATGCTTATTTGATAAATTACTACATATGACTGACTTCGTACAATGCGAAAACTTGTCTATAGTGGACGATACCACATATGCGAAATCTGACGAAATTATTCCTCCGATTTCTGACGAAAATATTTCGGACCAAAACGCATCCAAAGGACGACCGGCCTAAGTGTTCAATATCAAGAACATACAAAAATATTTAATTTAAATATATGAAAGAACATAACAGGAATGGCCCCAATATTTTAAAAAATTGGAAAAATTTTAGTATAAGAATTACTTAATATTATTATGTTTTTAAAATGTTAGTTTATTCTGTCTTCCCGTAAAATTATCCACCTATTCCTATCTGGAGTTTCTTGCATCCCATTTTTATCGTAATGCGCTTGATATCATTCATTCATTTAGAGTAGAGTAGAGTATTTATTTAACTACATAACATATACAAATATTGTTTGCAGCAAGTCAAAAAAAACATACATAGTATTAAATAATAAAACATTAAATAATACAAACATGAAAACATATTAAACAGACAAATATTTATGGCAAAGTTACGGTAAGCAGTTCAGTGGATGTTCTGCAATGAGTCATATATTCTTCTGAGCAGTAAAAACAATGTTTTAAAAGATATTTTTTTATAACTTTATCGAAACTATTACAGCTTAGCTCTTTTATAATTTTTGGTAAAATATTGTAATAGTTATAATTAAGACTATTTTTTTCTGAAAAACTTAATCTACAGCGATTTGTTCGTAGGTAGTGACAGTTTCGCGTATTGTGAACATGGACATCAGACTGCTTTATTAAATGGGCACGTTTTCTGTGAATTTGAGCTAAAACTTGAAATATCAACAGAGTAGGTAGAAGCATAATTTTGAATTAGATAAAGAAAGGTCGGCAGTGTTCTAGATAACTAACCCCTGCTAAAATCCTGACAGCTTTCTTTTGTATTCTAAAAATTTGAAGTGCATTTATTGAATTGTCCCATATAATTAAACCATACTTTAGGTGAGAGTGTAATAAAGAAAAATATGTCATTTTTAATGTTTTAAAGTTCACAACCCTTGCTAGTTGGCGAATAACAAATAATGAACTTGATAGCTGTTTCTTAAGGTGTGAGGTAGTTAAGTCGATTATCTATGGTTATTCCCAATAGTTTAACAGTCTCTTTGTTAACTAGATCATTGTGCAAATTACTTGCAGATATAACCATATTTTGCGTTTTATCAGAGTTAAGTTTTAGTTTGTTTGCAGCAAACCATGAGCTAGATTTAATAGAAACTTCCTCATGAGACATTTTTAAATCATCATTATTTTTTCCTGATATAACGTATGTCGTATCATCTGCGAATTGTATGGTTTTGTACGGAGATATGAATTTAGGCAGAATTTAGTCTGTGGTCGTCCTCTGCTTCGATAAGTCTTTTGTCTTGGTCGCTATTCTAGAATCTTTCTGGTCCCTCTATTATCAGTCAATTTGGCAACCTGTCCGACCCAAGCCTATTTACCCATAGCTATTCTTTAAATTTCATTCATGACTCCTGTTTTTTTGTTATTTCTGGGATTGGTTTAAATATAAACTTGGATAAAATCAATAATGGGAAAAATAGTTGTTTTGGAAAGAAACAAACACCCAGAATTAAAATTATAATAATAAAACTCATTTATAAAAATAAAGTAATATGAGTTTTCTGTATTATTTTGGAGGTTGACATTAATCATGGCCAGTTTGTTTTAATAATAATCTGTTTCAAAAATCGTGACAACTCTAAAAGTTCAATTGGTAAAGATGAGATTTTTTATCTTCTTATACTTCTCCTGCCTTAGATTTTCTTTGTAATTTTCTTACTGCTGGTTTTTGTAATTGTCTTTGCCCATTCTTTTCTACTATAGCAAAAAAAATAGGCTTTCCAAACAAATTTGTTAAGTCTATCAGGTCTATAATCATAAAAATAAAAGACAGAAAAGATTACCTAGTAAACGTGCTAGAGATTTGGAACTATTCAAAAAAATGAATACAAGAATTCATTGCATACTTTATTGAAGATAGTTAAGAATTAAGAGAGTGGTGATTTGAGGTCTGGAAAAATTCACAGATCTCAAGTCAATTCAGCAAGAGCCGGAAAATAAAGATGCCAAAACAATAAAAGTCGCCAATATGTTATCGAAAAAGCAAAATAAAACGCTGCCACTGTTTCTTGTTGTCATTAAAAAAAAAAGATAAAAAAATTAAAACCATTACATACCTATGCTATATAAGGATCTATATTAAGTAAGAGATCGAAATAAAAAAAGAAATAATACAATGTTGCCATGACTGCCAGGGTTTTTTCCAGAGTCCAAAGGTCTACCACTGTGATTAGAAATATGTTGGGGCAAAAATTACGTCAGTAGTGAGTGTCTTAAAAAGAACCACAGATCCGAAATGTGTCAACTGCAAAGAAGCACAGACTGCCACTTACAGAGGGTGCTAAAATATACCTAGAAGGAAACATCCTTCACCGCAGCAAATAAAAAGCAGAAATAGACAAATACACCGACCACAAAAAGTGTCAGCTACGCACAAATTGCCATTAAATAAAAAAACAAAAAACAAACAAACGAAAGGGAAAGCATTATAGTAAGTTTCTGTGAGCAGCTGCGAAACTGTGCAATAATGGTTAAGAAAATGCAAGTTTGCAATGGGAACCTTTGGTTCTTCTTTTTAAGGTACTGTGCATAATATACAGGGTGTGCCAGATTAATTTAGCTATACTATATCTCTTAAACGAATAGAGATTTTTAAATGGGACAAAAAGCATCTATTGTACTTGTCTTCTTCTTTTTAAGGTGCCGTGCATTTCTGCGTAGGCGTCCACCGTACATCGTCTTGTTAGGTGAGATGCTAAATAGTCAGGATTAAATAATTTTATTTATGGCAGTATTACGAAGCATTTAATAGCTGTGGATTTCTGTCCACTGTCGAATATTGTGCAGTCATGACAGTTTTTACGTCCCAGACCTCTCCTACCCTCTATCTTCCCTGCGAGTATCAGTTGCTAAAAAGTATATCTTTCTCCTCGTAATATGTGCCTCAATTATGCAGTCTTTTTACTTTTTATACAACTAAAAGTTCCCTATCCTGTAAGCCCGCTCTTTTGAGTACTTCCTTATTTCTGACCCTGTCCGTTCATGATATTCTAAGCATTCGACGCAGGCTTCACATTTCAAACAGTTCAAGTTTGTTAATGGAACTGGCCCTTAACGTCCATGCTTACACACGTAACACTTAAGCATCTTGTATAGGAGGTTAAAGTCCAATTTGCGATCAGTCAGAAACTTACGAAGCCTCAAAAAAGCATTTCTGGCCTGTTCAACTCTGCTCTTTATTTCATTCCCCGGGTCCCAACCCTCGTTCAGCAAGCAACCCAAATAATTAATTTGCTTGACCTGTTCGATTTCTTCTCCAGAGACATATATCTTTGCGTTGGGGTAATTATTTCTACTTATAATCATTGTTTTTGTATTCTTGATATTTATGTTTAAACCCCGAGCTTCATTGCAAGAGTTAGATCATTTAAAAGGCGTTGAAGATCTTTGATGTTATCTGCCACTATGGCTGTATCATCGGCATACCTGATGTTAATAATGGTCACACTGGTCTGGAGGGCTGGCTCGTCTTCGTGGATTTACGAGAAGATAAGGGATTTCGGGATAGGGGTAAGGACTCCTAGGTCTCAGTTCCTGTAAAGAGCAGAGGTTATGGGCTTACTTTTGAAGCCGGAGATATGCATACGCAGAATCTCGTGTTCTCCTAGTCTCTAGAAAGTCGGACGAAAGGAACATAAAAAAACTAATTTAGAGTCAACAATATATAGAATCTACCCTGAAGTTACAAATACAATCGTTAACACGTTATTCTGCGCGTCGGGAGACGATGAAGCAAGATAGTGAAGAGTTGACTGTTGTACTAATATAATTACACAGGTTAGTATAAAGAAATCTGTTACCTTATGTGTATATTAGGGCTTTCAACCACGACACGTTCTGGAACTCGGTCA